ACAAAGTGAAAAAAGGAAAGAAAACTGTCTGCACAAGTGTGTTGCAACACGCATAAAGCCAGTCGTGCTGTAGAAAGCGCTTTGGTTAAGGCATTACCACTGCAGTCAAAGTTACATGCATGCTCCAACTGTAGAGATTAGCCGAGGACGTAGTTAGGCGCTGGCTGATGTGATTAGTACCGGTAAAGTTAACTTTTCCTCACTTGCTTAATGCTTTCAGGGTAGACAGGCAAGGGGAGATCGATTTTTGGCTGGTCATATTCGACCGGTTCGTCAGTGAGGTTTGGTGGCATTTCTCGGGTCTCAGTGGTCGTCGAGAAAACAGAGTCTTCACCTGAAATTTCAGCAGTCAAACCATCAAGTACTGATCAAAAAGGCAGCGATTTTATGCTGAGATCACCTGGTGCTTTAGGTGTAGGAATTGATTTTCAATATGTCGGAAACATTTGATGGAGCCTAAAAAAAGCAGACTTCCGAACAAACAGATAGGTCCTACTCCCCATCATCAAATTATCGGTAAAGTTTCTGTTGGACGCATTCAGGACAGGAAGTGTAATAAACTTATATCATTCGATTTACATCAAGACACAACTACTTAAGAAGGAGATCTTGCAATTCCACATGACAATAGGATACAGCGTGACAAGTTTTGCCAACATGCAACGCAATCAGGACAGTTGATGCAGAATGCAGGTCAGAAAATATAAGTACCACATAAGTGGAACATCCCGTCCGAGAAAAAAGGTGTTCAGTTGAACACTTCCATGGACATCATCTTATTTGCACAAGAAATGGCTTGCAAGGTTTCCGTCGGCATTTCATAATACAAAGTTAGGTTAAGACTTCAAAAACGGCACAGTAAATGAGCCTAGCAACCCAAATAAAACGATATGATTGAAAAATAAACTCTCCTACCGTAGATTACCGTGCCGAAGTTGGAGGTCTGCTTAGGTGTCAAAGCCTCGCGAAATGACATTGGGAGTCAGTCGAGTGGCAACATTTCAGACTAGTATTAGGCATACGCATCACATTACCTAGGCAGCTCTTCGTACAGTATCCATATTCTATCATTAATGCGTTGACTATTGGATTGTAAGTAAGACAAAGGGCTACCACATATTTAAAAAAACATTACAAGAAAAAATGAGCATAAAAACGGTAGAGGTCATAGTTTAAAAATAATCTGACGTGCTTGCCTGTATTTTCCAAAAGTAAATATACTCCTTTTATTGAAATAATTTCCAATAATTATCATTTACTACTCCTATAGTCAGATCCTGAGTGAATAAGTTAACGTATTATAGTGGTAGAAGTATGTGTCAGAGCCAAAAACGTGATTAATCTCGTGTCGTTTGATAGCCCGCAAGTAGCCACGAAAGGCCTAACAGAATTAATCGAATTTTGAAATGCAAATTTACCCCGCCCCCAAACTGCTGACTAGTAGTCGGTGTAGTGGATAACTAAACCGAGTCTTCTTGTAGGCGCTTGAAATCACCGTAGTTCCTGAAGGTCGGTGAGAGGATGGGTATGTGCCCACTTGGAAACAGAGGCAGACGGGACTCCCTGATGCAAACTAGCCTTTTTGAAGAAGGTCCTTGTCATTAATCAACCGAAACATTTTAAGAGACTAAACTAACATACACAGGTCACAGAAGGTTCCTAGGTCTGAGCACTGAAAGTGGACGCAGGAAAAGTAGTTTGCACATATTGTAGTAGGCAGATTTCTAAGAGCGACATAGCGGACGGAGAGTAGCGAGCGCAGCAAATAGACTCATAGCGGAACCAGTACCCAAAAAGCCAATATGCAACGCGCTTAAAAAATACATCAGTCGGAGGAAGGGCAATGAAGGACGAATTCTGTCGAAGGATAAATGTTATTGTCGGTCATCCTTTGGCAACCAACAAAACCGCAACATTAATAACGACGTCGAGCACGTCACTGTCTAGTCAATTGAAAAAGGAACGGCCTGAGACCAGGTTACACACTATAGAGTTTCATAGATGTGTACCACTATAATCTAGCTGCCAGTGGTCAGATAATGCATAAAAACTTCCCCTCTGCCAAAGTTCATATTTCCTAGTGGTAGGAGTTATTGTGACCTCTTGGTGTCTAGGTTGCTAAAAGGGAGAAATATTGACGTTTGGAATTTCTCTAATCTCTCCTGAAACCCACTGTCAACTCAACTCAGCGTTTACGTGTATTTTTTCAACATAGCTGAACAGACTATCTTCTGCATGATCGAAGAGTTTAGTGTTCTCAAAGGCCCCTGAACAGTATCCACTTATTGTAGGTTTTAATTTCCCCAGAACTTAATATGTAACTTGGAGTAGATGAGCATATTCCAGGGTCTATGGACGCAGACCAAAATTTGATATTAATATTTAGACTGAAGACAATTAGTTACTGCTGAATAACCGCGTAATAACCACAAGCTGTCAGCAGTTAGTCCGCAGTATCTCTTGCGCAACTATTTACATAATCATAGATCTTATTGTGCTCACCGGAATGAGTTTGATTGTTCGCTGACGTTTCGGACAACTGGGCCGGCTGTCCTTTGTCAAATAGTG